TTAGGGCCTGGTTCACATCCAAATATTGTGCACTCCAGCATATTTGCTGTCAATAGATACAACTTTCACTTCCTGGTGGTGAAAAATTTGTTTTGGCTACTCAGATCCAAGATTTCAGGTTTCTTCCAATCTCATGAACCATATTTGGCTGTCTGAATTTGTGGCGTCATAAATCCAGTCTTCCAGAGCCTCTTTCAAACTCAGATCTTTTGGGAGGGAACAGATATCCACCCTCTTCAGCAGAGGAATGTGAGAATAGTCTGTTAGTAACAAACTATGCACCTTTAAACAGTCAGTATAGTCACTACTGTACCATTCAAAGCTGTGCCAGAATGTATCCTGTGTAGAAGCACACAGAGGAGTGAACCTGTTGCTGCTGTTCTGGTAACACACTGCACACAGTTTGCCTCCTGTGTAGGCACAGTGTTTGACATGAGTTTTCAAACTATGCTGGCTTGGGCTCCAAGTGTTGTGACAGCTGGGTAGAAAACTGATAGTTCTTCCAAATACTTTTAAAACTATGTTATACATCCATCCATTATCTATACTCCTTATCCCGAAGAGGGTCGCAGGAACCAATCCCAGCCGACATTTGGTGAGAGGCGGGGTACACCTTGCACAGGTCACAAGTCAATCACAGGGGTGAAACTAAGAGACAGACAACCATATTCACTCCTACAAGTAATTTAGAGTCTCAAATCAACCTAAGCTGCATGTCTTTGAACTGTGAGAGGAGAACAGAGTACCCAGAGAGAACCCATGCAGACACGGGCAGAACATGCAAACTCCATGCGGAAAAGCCCAAGGTCTGCCTGGGCTCGAACCTGGAACCTTCTTGCAGTGAAGCAACAGATCAAAAACGGAAACCTGTGGGATTCTGGTGTCAGGTCCGCTCGGCGCAACCTGCCTCTCTTCCGCCTTTCTCTCCTCTGCTCTCTCGATCCTGCGGGATCTGCACCTCAGCTGTATTGCATTTCAGTAATTAGCAACTCGTTTGTCGGGGCGCACAGCTGGGGTACATCCTGATGATTACCTTCCTCCTTATTTATACCTCTGGCAGATGCTCCGTCATCGCCGGAGCATTAACTTGCATACCCCGTAACAGCCCTATATTCGTGGTATGTGTTGTCCGTTATTTTGTTTTCCACGCTGATAGTTCCTGTGCTGTGGATTTCCTTTTTTCGTTCGCCAATCCTCCTGGTTAGTTTGTTTATTCACCTGTCCGTCCTGTTCCTCCTACTCTCCTGGTCCCAACCATTAGTCTACTCTACTCACCCGTTCGTCCCGCTCTCCTCCACCGTCTCTGCCCTACTTTGCTGATTTATGTACATGGACTATGATATGTTTGTTTTTGTTTGTTTTTGTTTTTTTGTTACTTTACATTTTCTGCATTAAACCACCTTTTTTACTAGCACCTGGGTCAGCAATCTTGAGTCCTACCTTAGGTCTCCCTCATCCTCCCAGTGAGGGGGACTAAACCCTAACATCTGGTTTTACTCCGTAGGGGGGATCATTTTTCCAGACACTGGATTTTTCCCATAGTAGTTACAATGCAGATAAATTTATAGCCAGAAACATCAATGTATCAAATGTCTTAAAAAATACACCCACCATTTATTCAAAGTCAGAATATTTTAGGTGGAGATGGAAGCCTGTGCCTCTGATCATCTGCTCCACCACATGCCATTTTATGCACTCTTTCTCATCCCTGCAATTTTACATAATGATCTTTGGGTTAAAACGGAGCTGACCCAGCCCAGATGTGGTGCTGACTTGACCCATGCAGTCAGCCTCATCATGGCTCCTCTGCTGAATACCAATGTACACCTGCTGTGGTTGCGCAGGCTAAATAGTTGTCTTGTCATTCATAGTCAGAGCCTGTGGGCTCTTATGTCTGCTCTCTTTAACTCATGTTTTTCCTTCAGACATAGCATTAGAAATAAAGGATAGATTAACTTAAGACATATCCACTTTAACTGTACTGAGCATTAGGCTAAAGATTCTGAATCATTTGGAAGAAACGACACTGCTCATATGCTATTGTATAGTATATATTTTAAACAGGTATACATAACTGTGAGAAATAGAATCAAAGTTTCTCCCCCACATTCACTTTACTTCTTCTGCTTGTCTCTTTTTCAAGATGGAAATCCTTCTCCAAAATAACATTATCTTCAAACAAACATTTCACTTTTAATCATTGCATTTTTCTGCCTTATACAATTCACCGTGGTATTGCAGGGCCTTTTGAAGCTGCTCTTTTTCTGAGTACCCACTGGGATTTGCTCCCCTGTGACCTCTGCTTCCACCAAAGCTTCTCTTTTCAAACCCAGCTTTGAGTAAAGAAGGAAAAGGGGAAAAAAGAAACCTCATAAGAAAATAGGTGGTGAACTGATGAACAATTCACTGGTGCATACCTGACATGAATAGAGATTGTATCACCTTGTCTGTTCTCAGTAACACAGAAATATGATTTCTCACTGGACATTCACATGTCAGTCAAGAAGTTGGGCAGACAATACACACAAATACACCGACATGCCCACACTCAATTCATTACACACATTTATGCATGCTGTGATGACCCAAAAAGGAAAGACAAAGGGCTTTTTAATTTGCCTTGTGAATTTATTAATATCTTAAAAACCCCTCAAGATTTTTTGAAAATAATTAAACTTTTTACAGACTATTATAAAAGTTTACTTTGCAGGCTGTTTTTAGAGATTATGACTCTGTCTTCTTGGTCCTAGGCCTCTCAGTACCCTTTGAGATAGGAATATACAATGAACCCTTCTGGGGGTAATGCTTTGCAATGTCAAATCATAATGGGTTAGTCTTTAAATACAATCCATCTGCTCATTGTCCTAGATATGATTGGGGTTTTGGAATATTCTGGTTGTGTATTTGCTCATATAAACAACATACCTGGTTATTGTAGCTGCATAAGCCCTTGTTCCAGTCTTAAGAAAGTTGAAAGTGCTAGCTTTAGCGCTCTATCAAAAATTGGAATATGTACTTTGGATTTTAAAATGCCTTATCCATGCTTTTTGTGCAACTATCTCCCTGTGCAATGGTCAATAAAACAAAAATATGAAATTACAGGGCTCTATTGTGTGAACATTTTACTTGTGCATTCCAGTAAAAATCAGAGTATGTTTTGGGCACACTGATGCAACTGACTCCGAGTTCCTTGGGTTCTCAGTTTGTAAGGCACGTTTCATCAGTAGGCTTTCACAAAGGGACCAGTGAGTGAGATCAGTGAATTGAAAAACATGTTTTTGGTGTTTATGGAGCAGCTTCTCCTGATGTTTGACCTGAGGGCAGAGCTCAGCTCCTCTACACATGGAGCACAGTAGGCAGAAGCTGTGGAGGAGAGCATGACATAGCCTGAAGTGTAACATTACTTGGAGTTAACAATCCCTCTGCTTGTTACTGTACATGCAATGCAATAAAACCTCTGCAGGTAAAAAAAAAAACAAAACAAAAAAAAAACACACACCTGCGCAAACTGGCTTAATCTTTCTTGGGCTCCGCCCCTCCTGTGAAATTGCACATCACAATGCCCACAAGGGACTGTTTACCCCAGGGACAATTCTTGGACTTTAGTTTGTGGGAATAAAAAGGACCAGGGACTTTCTGGTTAACCCTTAACCACATTCTTTGCCAGCTAGTCACTAACCTTTCCAAAGTGCTGTTGTAGTTCTCAGTAGGCAATGTACAGTTGATTTATCGGAGCTTTTTCTGCCACATTATTTATGAGACCAAAACAGTAAAGCTGCAAGCTGTAAAAATAAAACAAAGCTGAAAGGATTCATGTAATGCGTTTCAGTTCATTTTTCTATTTGAGATCTCAACACAGTGAAACAACACTGAGGATGAAGATAACTTTATTGAAACATATATAAAGACAGCTGTAGTCCTGAGTATTTGTGGCAGAGGAGTGCTGATGTTTGACAGATGATCTGCAGGGGACAGGAGCACAGCCAGCATTGAGCAGAACATCTGGATTTTCAAGGAGCAATACAGGAAACATGGCGAGAGAAAAACGATAAGTGCTGAAACAGCATCTGTTATAGAGCATTCACACAGAAACATTTTAATAAACATTTCTAAGATCACACCCTCTCAAGCAGCCCAAGTATGAATAGAAACGAACGCCACTTTGATTTTTTACTTTCTTTTATCAAATATTTCATGGACAGAAAAAAATAGTCCAAACTATTGATCTAGCAATATCTGAAAAATACAATTTTAGAAAACTGAGTCAAATTTTACAATTGAGAAACGAACTGCCAAGCATTAAATTAACCTGAATGACACTATACTCATTGTAGAGCTAATGTCAGGTCCGCTCGGTGCAACCTGCCTCTCTTCCTCCTTTCTCTCTCCTGCTCTCTCGTCCTGCAGGATCGGCACCTCAACTGTGTCACATTCGGTAATCAGTGACACGTTGGATGAAGCGCACAGCTGAGGCACATTCCATTGATTACCTCCCTTCCTTATTTAAACCTCTGGCAGACACTTTGTCGTCGCCGGAGCATTAAATGCGTTTACTTCCACTTTATGTTAAGGTTTGATGCTGACAGTTTTCTGTGCTATTGATTCTTTTTGTTATGTTGACGCTATGTTTCTTGCATTACTTAAGTTTCAGTGCTGACAGTTTTTCTGTGCTGTTGATTCTTTGTTATGTTGACACAGTTTCTTACGTGACTTAGTTTTCAGCGCTGACAGTTTTCTGTGCTACTGATTCCTTTGTCATGTTGATGCAGCCACTCCTGTGGTGAGTTTCCCTGCCTTCTCCTGTCTACTTATCTGATCCTCTGATGAACTGTTGGAACCAGGAGAGTCAGTCTACTCATCTGTTCACCTTGGTCCTCCTGGTTCCTGCCACTCACCTGTCTACTTACCAGCCCGTCCTGGTTTTCTCAGCTTCCACGGCTCAACCCTGGTTTGATCACTCATGGACCTTGTCTACTTATCTGTACATATTTTACAATAAAGACACATATTTAGTAGCACCTGAGCCTGCACCTTGAGTCCTCCTTTCCTCCCTCTCTCTCACCTCCTGGTGAGGGACACCCCACCATAACAGCTGAGGAGGAACTGCAGAGTTGGGTGATACAGTAGGTTCTCTCTTGATTTGTCACTTTGAGCAAAATCTTTTATATTACATGTAAACATTTGACCCATTGTTAATGTCAGAATTGATCAGTGCAACTTTAAGATTATTTTGAAAAATTTGTGATCCCAGGTAAAGGATGAACCTTGACATACAGCATTATCATTTCCTGAATATGATTAAAACCAGGATAAGCCTCAACTAGGGCAATAGCGTGCACGTAAATGTACTCACTGCTTCACATTAAAATATTATGCAGAGAACATATTGCCACAGTATCTGAAAATGTTTAAAATATATTTAAACTGCTTACCATTATTTTGGAATTTTTAATCTATCAGATATCTAGTTACACTGTAAACCAAAGGTGCAAATTATTTGGTCTTCTGTCTAATGCATCCATATATACTGTATTTACACAAGGTTTAGTTAGAAGAAAATGGGCCTTGTCTCTTTGATATTTAGCACAAAAAGCTTGTTTTGAGCTATTAAGCATCCCTACATTTTGCAACTTTATTTTGACCGCAAGAGATCACCATTCTTGGAATAAATGAAGCAAAGGGTTTAGGCCAGGATGATTCATATTTGAATGTTCCATTAACATGTTAGTTTGACTTCTAAATAAATGTTCTATTGGAGTGTGCAGACAGGACTGAAAAGGATTTACTGAAGGGAAACTGCTATGTTTTTTTTTTATTTTTTATGAATTGATGATCATTTAAGGTTTAACCCATCAAAGATTGAAGGACAAGCACTGATAGTGCCTTAGTAGTAATTATGCAGCTTATCTCTGTGTATAACATGTACATGGTTAATATAGCTCTGTATTTATTTTTTTCTGACTCCTAACCTGGAGAGAGATACAAATAATTCAACTGAACCATTCCTAACAACATCACAACCCCACTTAAAATACAGACATTTACACATTTAAAGTCTTTATTATCATTAATTAAACATGCTCTGCTTACTACTTTTATTTCTTACTGTGAAAACATTTCTGGTATATTAAGTTATTTTAAATGTCATATACATCTAAAAAAATATTAAATTGCCAAGTAAAAGGTGGAGAGTTCATTGATCATGACGATTTGTACATGTTCTTTTCAATGTTCACATATCAACTTGGTGTTATGGTGAAATAGGACATTTTATATAGGGACTGTTAGGAGTAAAATGAATTGAGAAGATGAACAACTGAGCACATGTACCATGCTATATACATATACCCTGAATATATCAAAATCCTGCATCTACATTTAAAAAAAACTGTAGATATAGGTTTATATTAAATACTACTGAATGAAGCAGACAGGAAATCATTAGTATTACTGTACCTGTTGTATTAGACAACAATGCATTAATATGAGAGCAACAACAGTCAGAATCTGAAGGCTAAAGCTATATTCAGAAGGGCATGTAAAAGAACGACCTACCCCAGTGTTTGAAGTTATGATTTATGGATCAGCTGATAAAATTCTTTGTTCTATTCAAAGCACTGACAGCTGATAAGACCCAGTACAATGACCAGATTAGAGGCACGATTGGAGACGTCTCTGAGATGTGTAGTGTTTAAAATCTCCTCACTGCCTGTAATTCTGCTACTTTCTACCCCCACCTTGTAACAACAGACTCTTGATAATGTTATTGCTCATGGTTCATGACCAGGGAAGATAAGAGAAATAGGTTTCTTTAAGCCCTGCACAGGCTTAACCTGTGACTCTACTTATAGCAAGCCTCAAAGACCCAGACAACCCTGTTAACTTTAGTTTTGTACAATACCTCAATACAGTACGTGACAGATTTTAGTACTTCCACTATACTGTATGCGTTATGTGCAGGGATGAAAAAGTGTTACTTATTCAAATCCATGTCCACAGTTTGAAAGGCTCCACTTAAAATGCAACCAGTGCAGGCAACTCAGCAGCATCACTGAAATATGCAACTTTGGGCATTCAGAAACTTAAATTAGAATGAGGCCACTTCTGAAGTTCCCCCTATGGAGTCTTTATTTAGCTGTGTTGAACAAAAATCTCTTAATGACTGACTAGCTGTTTAACATCAACCAAACAGCACACAATGTTGGCAACCAACTAATGACCAGAGTGGAGCATCCAACAAGCTAGTATTATTCCCCCTAAGATTTCTGTTTTGGAGACCATAATAAAATTTGTTCTATTACCCAAAACATTCAGCTAATGCTCCTGTAAAATTAAATATGTCTTGGTAGAGACAGAGAAAAAAAATCCCAAAGCTAAGGGCAGAGCCACACCCAGCCGACATGAAAGAACTAGCAGCAATGTAGGCTGACAGTTGTGTCACCTCACATTTCCTTTGTATCAGCAAAACGGGTCAAAAAAGTGGCACCTGAACACACTACACAAACTACAGCCACCTAGCATGTACACTCTGGCCTGCGTGAGCGAAATAACTTTACCTACCAGCAGGTGGCAGAACATGTAGGCAGAATCTGTATTTGCCATTCAGAAAAAGAAAGAAGAGGAGCTAGAATATGCATATACAAACTGTAAACAAAGCAGCTCTTGTTCATCACAGCTGCTGTTTATAGCTGCTCCTGATCCAGAATATGTTTGAGAAGTTGCAAATGACACTGCCGTTCTCTGTCCTTGGTTTTTTTTTTTGGTTGTGGAAGAAGAAAGAAGATTGTGGGAAAGAAAAACACAAAGAAACTGCACTAAATGGGTGAAATCATGGATACTACAGTGACAAACTGAAGGGCCTTTCCCAAACCGTTCTCTTCTCATGCACTGATATACTTAGCTCAAAAGAAAATCAGAGTGGTCTGTCTCACCAGTGCCGGTGTCTGCCGGTGATTCAACATGCCAAATTGATTGAAAAGCCACCAGCGGGGTCCGACTAGTGCCAATGGTGCAGGACACTATGAAGATGACGGCGACAGATGCTCGCCAATGGTCGGCAATGGCCTACTATCAGCTTGGTGAGTCACGGGCCCAAGGACTGCACTTTGTCTCCTAGGTTGTACTAGATTGCTGAGATTAGTTATGTCACATTCTTAATGTAGCCGGGTAGTACACATATACTAAGAGGAGATAAATAAATAACTAAATTGTTTTCCACTGATGATGAAAGGTCCCCTAAAGGTTTTCAACATTCAAATTGTCATTCATTGTTTATGGTTTTCCTGTAACACCATTCAATTGTGGTGATATGTAAAAGTAACCAAAGCTTGAACAAATGCATTGTGGTCCCTTCCTTCTTTATGTTGGACTGAGCTTGAGTGGAGCGCCGTGATTTTTTTAACCTAAGTAAGTAAATATGCTGAAATCTTGTTGGATTCTGTTGTATCAACATTTAAAGAAGTCATCTATCAGAATTCTGACAAAATGCTATATTATAGATGCTGAGGGTGCTGGTATCCAACAGCTCGTGAGCTTTTGGCGGGATGTAAGTGTCTTTAAGTATGTGAATGTGGCATTTTATGGATTTTTGGTGACTGGTTATTTGGTTTTTACAAATTATTTTATTTTGTGTATGTGTGCATCCAGAGCCCACTGCCATATTTTGTTACCCCTTGCTTTTGCTACTCCAGTGTTTTGTTACTCCATATCATCGTGTGTAAATAAACTGTGATGTGCTGGACATTGAAGCTGCGAGGACCCCAGTAATTGTGTCTCGTGCGGCAACCATTTTACCCAGGCTACACAATAATAAAAAATTACTCATAATATAAATGAGTGGTTTAAAGTGCAAGTCATGATGTTGAAAATACTATCATAATAAAGTTGATTTCTATATGTGCAGCTGTAGCAGAAATTACAGATACTGTATCTTCACAAACTAAAAGACAGCATTCAGGACACTACCTTACTCTCTCATTGTGTGCTAACATCAACCACTGCATAGTGTCTGGCATAACTCTCCCATGAGAGGAACATAGCATGAATGTCAAGTGAACAGGAGGGATTGGAGGATCTGACAACAGGTATCCCAGTGGGGTTATAAACTCAGCAACTCCCATCACAGATGTTTAATTGAATTCAGCCCACAGTACCACTAGCAGCATCAACCATAAATTCCAGTACCCCAGAACACCCTCCCTTGTACCTACTCACAGTTCTAATTAAATGCATACACACACATCTCTATTCTTACGTTCTACACAGAGGCTGTTTCTATTGTATATTTAGACTAATACTCAACCCACAACTTTCCACAGTTTTATCATTATTGAATATTTATATTTATCATTAATTGGTTTCCTTTATGTTAACTAGCAACTAAGTGAACCCTGACACTTTGCTCAGTAATAGCCAATTACATCAGATCAACCATTGCAGATGTCATGTTACTGTAAACAAAATTGATCTAATGCACTACCATCTTCTCACGCCAGAGCCCATCTTCATTGCCAGGGCATGAAATACTAACAATATATCAAGTACTTTTATTGTCTCATACAGACGCCAACACACAGGGTTTTCAATTAGAGTTGTTTAGTCTTTGTGTGTAGCTGTCATTTTAGTTTTTATTAGTTTTAGTCACGTTCATACTTTTTTTTAGTCTAGTCTAGTTTTAGTCAACAAAAACTGATGACATTTTAGTCTTATTTTAGTCAGAATTATCCATGACTATTTTCATCTAGTTTTAGTCGACAAAAACTGATGACATTTTAGTCTAGTTTTAGTCAATGAAAATTGT